ACATTTGAATGCGTTCAAAGTTTGCATTCACTAGATTCCTAATGCATGATGAGCTTCAAAATCGAACTCAACCTTGCGTTTAAACTGGCTTATATGGTAGCGGTAACTTATATGCCACATAGAATATTTGAAGATATCCTTTATGCTTTTTCCAAACGAGATCCAGCGTGATTCTACAATCGATCAATAAGTAGAGTTTATAAATAACTCATACTATTGTTTTGACTTTTAGATTACTTGTATTCTTAGATCTAAAAAAAGTTCTTCTGCTTATTCCCTTGTAAAGTGAGAGTCGATGATACGATTCGTAGAAAAAAGTTAGCGGCTTAACAACAGGCTAAATCAATAATGCTATTTAATAACATTATTAAGAGTAAGGAAGATTCCACTGTTTCAAGATACCATTGGAGTGCAGGGGTTGTTATCATAGATGGAATGAAGGCGAGTAAATGACTTCAGTGACACTCGGCCATGTTATTGAGTCTATTTCTCTTCCAGGAAGTTCAGCAAAACTTCCATTTACGAAACAAATAGCTGATCAGCCGGTTCGTTGTGTCGCTTGACTTGTACTACAAAAAATTCTAGTTTTTTCCGATACCAGCACCAAACCTTTGTCACCAAAACGTAAACCCAGTGATGATATTAAACCAAATATTTGCCTGATAGCCGACTTATGAGAGAATTTACCCTGAATTGGCAATCGAGAACGGGATGGATATCACTGGACGCGTTTTAGACGCTGATTCTTAGTCTGTTTTCTTCCTGCGAATCAACTCCCTGAAAAAAACTATGAGTGTTAGGTCTAAATTTGTTAGACTCCAAGTAATTGAAATGCAGAAAGCTCAACAAAAACACCTGAAAATGGACAAGCAATTCCATATCAAGTATACTGACTACAGGAAAAATACAGCCAATGGGTTTCCGCATACGCGTTTTGCAGCTATTCGCTAATTTGATGCCGCTCAAAGCTTGACAAATTTAGACATCGAAACGCTCATACTTCTTTCGGAGAGTAGATCCGCAGAAACGGAAAGCAAGTTTGCGTTCAGCATTTAAAGTTTGCGTCTAGTAATATACAGGGGTCTCAAAAGTATGTATACACTGTTTGATCGTTGATATCTGTCTTTCCAGAAAGTCTTTTGCCTACAATCAGGTACCATTCTGTAGAACTGGCTTTAACTTGAATTTACAGTGTAGAGCAAATCACAGAGATTTTCTTTTTACTGTAGGATTACATTAGGAGCCTCAAGAATGATATTGAGCCATTGAGTGTCTTATTTCGCCTTAGAAAGCAAACCAAACCGCCTGAAAACACTGGCATTGGGCGAACTAGAGCTAACTGAAGCTAATGAACGTTGCACTTCGCCGCAATGCTTCCTTCTGCTTCCTTCCCAAGTTATGCCAGGTAAAACCGCAACAGTTGTTTTTAAACTGTTTCTTGAATTTGCGATCACACCATTTCAAAGGAACTTTTTAAACTCGTAAAAAGCTAATAATTGAAATTAGCGCGCATGAAAACTCTAATATACCACATTTCAGATTTTTTTGGAAAACTTTTTTGAAACATGACTTTTTCATGATTCATTCATTCATTCATTTATTACATAGGATGTCCTATGCATTAAACATCAACAAACAAGTGCTACAAAACATAAAAACCATTTGTTAGTAACAACAGACTACATAAACGAAAAGAGAAGTAAAAAAGAGTTTTTTTTTCTTTTATTGCGAAAGCAAATAGTCCCTTAAAAGATAAATCCCTTAAATGATGACGCTGGAAGATAGAAGTTCCCACCGTGATTCTACACTAATGAAAAGCGATCGATAATTCGCTTTATTCTGTAATCTGAGTTAAAGCTAGCTCTGTAAGACGGTATCTAAAGGTAGGCGAACGACTCCTGGAGTGAAAGTTTTTAACGATCAAACAGTGTGTACTAACCTTGGGACATCCTGTACATTTCACCTTTAATCGGCGAATTTGGCATCCTTCTCTTTTTAGACTAAGAGTGCTATAAAATGCTTTATTCATTCATGTAAATCAATTTTATCCTACAAGTTGGACCGTCCTGAAAGCGCTCTTCACCGTTACTTCCCCCCTCACCTCCCCCCTCTCAAACCTCTCTCCCCTCCCCGCCTTCGCAGATGTTATGAGATCGATGTAACAAATGCACTGCGCACAGAAAAGCAGTAGCTGAAGCAGGTGCGTACGCTTATATAGAGAAATGGAGAAAAGAATAATTTTCACGTTTTTGTCAAAGCTGCTGCTTGCACACAGCTGAATCTACAGTATGAACTTTAGTAGTGAAACTATAAAATTTGGGCTTCTACAGGCATTGGTTTTTGAGAGGTATCAAATTTAGCGCAAAAGATCTCGGAAAAGACAACTTTTTGTTTCTGGCCTACTTGGTGTATGTATGTTTCTCGAATTCTAGTCATGAAAAAAATAATTAACTCTACAGATCGACATCGAATGTAGATGGTGTTGGCCTGTGCATGTATTAAATCCGTAGGAAATCTTTGAACGAACGTATAATTTTTTCAGCTACTTAAATCTTTATTCCATCTGCAAATTTCATTTAGAGCGAACTTCGAGCGTATATTCGATGTCTTGTAGAGCTTGCTTTGCTCTGTGCGATGGTACCGCAAAGACTAATCGAGAAACAGGAAGATTTATTGCGGGGGAAATTAAAGATGTTGAAAGCTTCTGTTTCATGCTCAAAATGACTCTGTACAGAAGACTAAAAAGATCTTCACTGTGGGGCGAATGAGGATATTGGAAAGAATTTGAAAATTTTTACTTCACCTACGCAAGGAAAAGGCGTTTCAAAATTTCATATCTCAACCAATCAAAAATACAATCATTGGCAATTGAAGACGAAAGATTCCTTGCCATTGTTTCGTACTTCCGAATGATTACAACAACAAAAAATCCGAATGGAAACTATCCATTCAAGGATAAAGTTGTTGAAGGGTTGTGATGTTCCTTTTTGCCTCCTTCCACCCTATTTCAACACTCTCAAAGTGGCTTCTAAACAAAGTCAATCATCAGTGCTGGGACGAAGGTAGAAGTCAATGTAATGACTTCTGAAGGTTAATCATATATACTATTTAATTCAACCGGCTTGGCTTCGGGGAGGCAGGGCTTAGTAACCTAATCAATGCTAGGTAATGATCAGAGAGCGAGAGAGACGCAGTTCGTCGCGGGCGCGAGCGGCAAGCCCCGCCTTCTCGAAGCGAAGCCAGTTGAATCAAAGGTTACTCCTTTGCGACAACCTTACCAAATTGGTGTTGAACACATGACAATTCGATTTCACACCATCTCAACGCGTTAACATGCGACATGCAACCTTTTATGTCGGAATGGATAAACGCAATGTCGCAAAATTTCTCATGAATAAAAACAAAACCAATGTTTATTTATTCATGTGAGAAAAATCAAAAGATATTCTACAGTTTTAAGCGCCATTCTATGCAATTTCCCCTCCTCTCTCAAAATCTATCTCTTTATTTTATTTTTTTTCGATGGCAAACAAAATCGTCGTATTTCCAGATATTACAACTTTGCACTGTTGTGACTTGCATTTCAAAACTTCAGATTTCGAAACGAAAAGTACTGATCTGCTTTATAAGACTAGTGGTATTGATATTCCAGGTTTATCCTAAGATTTGATTTGCGAAACTTGCGTGTTTCGCGCAATTCAGTGTTCTGCAAATCCAGAATTCATTATTTCTAAAATGAGTCAATTTGAAATGTAAGGCAACATGTAAGTCTTGTTTCTTATAGCTGATCTAGCTTTTTCTCATAACCTTGTTTTCTTCCTATAAAACACGACTGCCATAAAAATGCTAGCAACTGCTTAGATTCCGATTTATCTTGGGAAAAGTCATAAATCCATCTACCTCACATATGTCAGATTCTCCAATAATGATAAAGCCCTCAATTATTTATGTTGAGTCGGTGCAATAGTTTTGCCTGTTTTGCAAAAGCATCCGCAAATCACATGAAGTGAAGATAAACGAACACATCAAGCAGTACCCAAAATGTGTTCCCAATGCAAGCCTTTTGATGCGCGCTGAGTTACTTGCTGGAATTCAAAACCGTTCCACCATGCCTACCTTTTCCTAATTTTCAGAAATTCTGTTTAACACTTTTGAAGGAATTTGCTTTGACGGACAGCTCGTAGGACTGACCCTTGGCTTTTTGCAATTCTCTCACTTGTTTCGTAGAATTTGTAGAAATAAACTTTTTGAGGTGACCGATCTTTATATTCGGTCTACTCTAGCCTCGTAATGAAATGGTAAGCAGTTCAAGCACCATTTGATGCAACTTTCTCTTCTCTTTTCAGACACTTTCGAAAATTGCAAAGAATATCTCTGGATACTACGATTGTGCACCATGGTAGCCTAAAAAAATTCATTTTTTCAAGCGAAAATCGCTGATCTACTTTTGTAAAAGTGTTATTGATAAACTAGTTCTCCTTTGAGAATTTGGGAATTTTGCCGTGTTTGGCGCAATTTTGTGCTTTGCGATTTTTTCATTTTTTCGACTTTTGAAAAATTATTCAGGAAGGTAATGAAAGCCAGTTGAAGAGTTATAAAAACTGCTTTAATTTGCGAAAGGTTGCTGGATATAGAAGCTCAAATGGTTCAAACAATAGTTCCGGAGTCAAACATTGTAAAAACGAAGAGTTGCATGTTTCGCCAATCATCTCAGCACTTGTCTGAGCTGCACCAAGAACTAGCTGCCAAAAAGAGAAAGACAATTTGCTTTAGATACTCTTGAATCTGTTTATCTCAATGAACAGAATCTGTCAGTGATTCCAAAAACTAGCAATACTTTGCACGATCTAAGCTCGCTTTTTAACAGCATGCATGGTGGATGTAAAAACGGATGTTTCCTTGCTGTTTGTCACAAAACTATAAAGATGCCATTGTACGACGCATATCGAAAGCAATATATTTTGAATATTCAAATTTAAGCTATGACATATAAGAGAAGAGTGCATGACAGTGACGCTAATTTCTGATAACTGCACAGCCTGTGAAGTTAAGCTTTCTGCCATCTAAAAACATGATTCTATTATTGATTATTCTGCTGTTGTCCTTGTTCGGAAAGGGTGCAAGCTACACTAGCTACACGGGTGGAAGCTACATTAGCTACACTTGTGACGATCGCTTATGTCGTAGAGGTTGTATAAACGAGGTAAGATATCATTACATTCAGGGCCCGGCACGAGGTGGGCAAACGGGGTTTTCCAAAACGAATTCCCCTTTGATCCCAATAAATTTTACGAATACCCCCTTGAGCCCAAAAATGACGTTTTGTGCTTGTGCGACGAGATTACCGGCCACACTTCGCCTAAAAGCGCTCAAAAGCGCCCAAATTCCTCAAATTCCTCAAATTACTCCTCAGCTGGATCAAGATAGAAAACAGGAAGAAAAATAAGCAAGAAAATGATTAAGGAATGAGAAAATATCAAAGAAACGCAGTCATAGGAATGAGAGACGCCGCTCCCGCGCGTATCGATTGACTGGAGCGCGCTTTCCATCTTAAAAATCTAGGCTGCTGATGCGATTTTGGGCTCTAACAAGGTCAAGAGGAGGAGTTTCGGAACCAAAATTTCACCATGTAGTAAACTTTAGGTGTACAACAGATTTATGTAAAAATTTTGAAAAAATTATGTGAACTGAGAGTTTTGCCGACCTCAGGTGGGAATTAGGTCGGCAAATGCTGACCTAATTTGGAAATTAGTTAAGGAAACTTTTCATTCACATAAGTTTTTCATAATATTTCATACTTAGTTACTTAGTCCTACTGCGCATACACACACCGAATCCCGCGCAATTTCGTTACCTCTGCGTTGCAAACGAGCCATTTTTCCATTTCTTTGGTAGCGCAAAATTTTCAGAAAAAAGTTTGCCACAACCTTCAGTCACATAATTTTTCAATGAAACTCCTCAGTTAAGCCCTGCAAGTCCGTGTGCATGTACTTACTAAGTTTCATGCCATATCGCTCATCTGCGCGTTCCAAACGAGCCGTTTGAATTCACATCTTCATTTACCAGTTTTGCGAAATTCTCGGAAAAAAATGCTAATAACTCGTTCCGTTCACATAAGTTTTTCATAAATTTTCATACTATGTTTCCACTAGCCTCTCTCCGTTCGCATACAAAATTTGGTGCCATATCGTTACACATACATTGAGAACTAGTCATGCATGCTGTTACAAATAGCATCGCTTGGGCGACGTCGCGCGTGCGGCAATTAGCGACGGCGCGGTTTGACGCGCGCGAACTCCAGTGTTCGCCTGTTGAGGCGCATAACATATCAAGATAAGTAGCGAGCATGAACTACCAATTTTTTTCCGGGGCTCCGCCCCGGACCCCGCAAAAACGATTTCCCCTTTGCTTTTTGGCCCCAAAACGATTTCCAGCTTGTCATTTGCCGACCTCGTGCCGGGCCCTGATTACATTTGCGCATAGTATTGAAAATCAGCAAAACCAAGGCAAAATGGCATCAAAGTGTAGTACTATGAAGCAGTGAGCATTCCATTTTTGAGTGAGTGCGGCATATAGTTGACGAAAAAGGAAATTTTTTTGGCTGCTTTCCATATTGAAGAAACTCGATCTCAACACGTTTTCAAAATCTTAGAAAGCTCATGTTGCTTTGAAAATTAGCAATCATTTCTTTACTTACAATCGAGACTAAACACATGCAAATTTATCTAATGCATGTACATAGAAAATCTGCACTCTTACGCATCGGGGGTACCTATTCTTTCTCCGCAAAAAAGTGTAAGCAAAATCTCTCTATTATGCTATCTTATTTCAATCTAAGCTAGTTCCTATACTTGCTTAGTTAGATAGTTATAAGGCCCGTCTTCACGTGGCGTGCGGGCCCCGAAACAAAAGTTTTTAACGGTCCACCTCCCTCGCTTCCAACATCCACGTTTTCTTCTGTCGTAGGTGGCTGCGTCCACAAGTTTCAGATGCGAAAGTCGTATCCAGCTATTTTCTCAGCTGGTCCACCCGTCACACAAACACGTCTGCCCATTTCGTTGAGAGTATTCCACGGACTTCGTTTGCGAGGAATCCATTCCGATGTTCTAAGTGTCTGTCGTCTGTTCTTCTCATGATGTGACCGGCTCATCGGTGTTTCGCTTTCACAACGTATTCCGCCGGGTCACGAAGACGGGACATTTTTTACGTGTCCGTGCTGCGTCCGACAATATGATGTTTGTGTTGGGTCATCTTCAGAAGACTGCGCTCGAGCGCTCGTCGTGGGTGGTCCGTAGAGCTTTCGACGTGGCTAGTCTCAGCCCACGTCTCAGCTGCGTAACAGAGCGCTGGAGAACGTTGAGTCCGGTGACCGCGAAGCTTCGGGTCCGTCAGTTAGTTAGCGGCTTCCTTTGAAGGCCCGAAGGCGGCCCAGAGTGTCCTTCATGTTCTCAGATGTCCAAGTACAAGCAGGATAGCATTTCTCAATTAACCCCTTTTGAGTACTCGACTAAGCTTCAAAAATTTACTTGCTGTGGGAGTTTAGTAAAAACAAGAAACTGCAATTCAATATTACGCAGAGAATCGCGAACGTAAAAGCTGGCTTATCTCGTTAAGGGTTGGACCCAGGGTCAAGCGTGCTGATGCGATCCTGGACCCTCATTTACGACCCCTTCCCCTTGAGGGTAAACATCCGTACGATCCCCCCCCCCCCCTACCCCTCCCCCTCCCCTCCCATCCTCCCTCATCTATCCCCCTTACCTCCCCTGCCCAAACCACATTCTTCGAGGTAACCTGCATAAATGAATGTCAATCTCAAAAAACACCTGCGTGAGAACTTCAGTGAGGTTTCGGAAGCAGAATTTCTAGGCTAGTGGGTGCGCCCAGCATCTCTAGCACATATACACACCTTCAATAATGTTTGAGATTCTGCAACTTTACTCTTGAATTTTCAGGCATACCTCAGGCCAGCAAATTCGATTTCCGTATGCGACACAAATTTTTACACGGAGAACAAAATGACATTCTTAAACTACAAAAGATGTTTTCGACTAAGGAGCTCAGCTCTTACCTCTTCCACAGTTTTTCCTGCGAAAAAAACCGCCTTAGCGCCGTTCACAACGACGTCAAAAACATGCATGAGCACGGTAGTTTGAAAATTCGTAACTAAGGCCAGGAAAAGACTGAGAGGCTGCAAAGAACAGATTCTGTAGCATAGTGCCCAGACTATTCACAGAAAAAGTTTCAGCCCTTGAGGAGCAGTGAGCTCGAAAAAATTTAGATCAGGCTCTCGCAAATTTATGCGATCCTAAAAAGCAAAAACTGGGATTTTTGAGCTCAAAACTTTGTAACTAACCAGAGAAGTTATAAAACAGCCTTAAAATCTTATGATAAAAACTAGAGGGATGGCCTCGTATTACAGCAAGTTTGCAGCTAACAAGCTTCAATAGCTCCGGAGAAATTTAGATCAGGCGCAGATACGACCCCCCTTTCTTCATTTTTTGCTACCATACATAAAATCATAAGAAAATCCGCAATTCATAAAATAACACCAGATTTCGCACAGCAGTAGCAGGGCTTATCTAAAGTACGTATAAAATGTAAGGGCCGCATAGATGGCATTACAAAAAGGTTTACGAATTATTGATTGTCATCGCTGATCTACATGTGCGCTTTTGCCGAGTGTGCGAGTTTTCAGTGAGCCTTCGGAAGCAGGATGTCTACACCAATCGGTACATCCAACATCTTTATCACACATACATGCCTTTAGTAGCATTTGAGCTTCTGGAAGCGTTTATTTTTTGGATTTTAGTTATGCCAGCGGGGTTCGATCCCCTTTTGAGACAATATTTTGCTGAACTAAGTCATAATCTTTCAAAAGTGCAGCAAATGAAGCGGATTTCTACGTTTGCAAATGTTTTCAAATTATTATTCACTCATTTTTATTTGATACATTGGTACACGGCATTCCATGAATTTATTGTTAAGAACATGTAATAATTACTTGCTATTTGATTTGCTTTCAATCGTACGGTTTTTTATCCAAACTACCCCTCTTACGACCCCCCCCCCTCACCGTAGGCCTCGTTTACGACCCCCCATTGCGATAGTCGCATCACACGCTTGACCCTGGTTGGACCAGACTGCGCAGCGTACGCACGCCACGTACGCCGCGCAGTATGGCTCAACCTAAGGAGTGATTCTCAACGCTTGCAACATTGTCAGTGCTCCCAATCGTGTGACGACGATTATGATGTATGAGGATGCAGGAATTTGGTAAAAAGTCGCGGAGATCTGCGATCATAGCCATATGCCCTATCCTCTCTGGTTTTTCTCTCTGCTCGCTTACAATTCCTCGCGTTTCGCGCTGCTTTTCTACCCCAAACACGAGACCACTTGGCTCTGATACTCTTTTGTTCTGAAATTATATCTAGAACTGCATGTCATATTGTAGCTTGTGATTTCAACTTTCACGCTGACAAAGTCACAAAAACCCCCTTTTTCTTTCAAGCAAGAACTGGCGAAATCACGTTTCCAAAAATCTCTTGTTTTTCTTCAGATGAGTTCTTACCACGTCGTTTTTTTCTGCACTCGATGGACCTTGCTTTTTCCTACAATGTAGACAACGTCGCAGAGCTTACTTATTCGATCGAAGTGTAATAATTGATAAAAATCTTTAAGTAGCAATTTCGGCTATAGCTCTTCAGTGGAGTTGTTTATCGAATATTTTTTCCTCGCTTGAGGGCATCTGGCTCAGAAGAGCAGAACAAAGCTGCCGTTGGCGCCAGAAACAAAAACTTCAAGATGAGGGTTAAAATTCAAAGGAGCATCAAAAACTAGATTGGGTCTGACGGGCATTTCGATTTAGTAAAATCAAAACCTCGCGTTTTTATAAGTAAACCTTTTCTTTTAGTATAGTTATCTCTGAGCTTCATGCGAATCTGGTACAGGTATTGAAGGACAGCTTTTGACCAGTAGTTTACTGGCAACGGCAACGTTTTGATTTTCATAAAATCATCATCAGGCACTGAATTACAATATATGAATGATATATAAATTCAAATACAAACGGCGCGTGTACCTTATCTTCTTCCTACTTAGATGGGAGGTAGGGTGGAGTGGGGTTGTTGTCAAATAAGACAGTAACAGTGGCATCCTTCTTTGGTAAGTCAGTAAAGAATGGACTCCAGTTCTTTGGACAGTCAA